ATTTGGACAGTTACATTTTCCAGAGTAAAGAAGCCATATAAAGGCAGCAGTTCCCGAGGATGCAGAGCACGTAGCCTTTCCTCTGAACAGCAGGGCAAGGGGACTTCTGCTGCGGGGTGTGAACTCAGAGGAAACTGGATGTGTGGTCAGGACTTCCTTAGTGAATTGTTTAGAAGAGGGTAATAACAGGCCCAGGAGGATGTTAAAAAGACTAAAGAATACTTTACAAAAAGGTAGCAAACCAAAAACTTAGGGGTGAACCTGAGTGAATACACAGGGCCTCTCACCAAATAGAGGGGCCAAAAGGAATAGAACAAGACACCTTGAAAATCTGGGCACCAAAGAGTTAAGTTTATCTGAGGCGAAGGATCTTTTGAGCCTAACTCTTATAAGTCCTGCCTTATAAGGTTAAATTATCCTTAGATTTTTGTTTTGTTTGATTTCTGTTCCCTTGGAGGAAAACCACTGGAGGTTCAATGTCTTAAATCTATGTGCCACAGTCATCGTGGGGAAACTGAGTCACATACAGGGGAAAACTGAAGAAGCCACTTCAGGTGGTGTTCAAACTGGGAAGCCACTACTACAATTTTAACAATGGTTTAGATGGAAATCACAGTCCAGCTGATGACATCTAAGTTAGCTGTTCAGTTTATAATTACTTATAATGAATATCATTGATCTAACATCCCTGAGAATGCCACAAGCTCTCTGTGAGTCAGAGAAGCTGCTCTCACTGCTTACTGCGTCTATAACCATCAGATGCACTCAACACAGCTATGAACACGTAAGCCTACTGGCTTAAACTGAGGGGCTCATAAACTGCAAAGCACTTCAGAGCTTTTGACAAAACAGATTATCATTTCTAAACCCCATAAGCAGAAACAGGTAGACTCTCTCAGCTCTCGGGGTCAAATAGCTTCTGGTGCCAAGATTTACACATTACCAACAAGATGGGCAGATGCAAATTACTTCCTCATGACCCATCACATAACCGTCGCTACATCATCGCTGTAGTATTTACAAAGTTCATAAGCATTATATCAGTGAATTACGGCTTCATGCCACTTTCTCTAAGATTGCATGTCTCCTGGAGGGATGGGTCTTTGATTTTCAAGCTCCATAGGTAGCCCTTGCATTCCAGCGCAGCAACCTGTTGGGGATTTATGGGCACTTCGCTGGTGTTTAATGAGGCTTACACTATAAGCGATCTAAACAGCTCTTGTTCATGGAATCCTGAAGCACATCCAGTAAAGCCAATGGAGCCTGAGACACCTTGAGAGAAATACTGAGTGAATAAAAATAATCAGCCTGCCCTTTCTCTCTGTCCCAGCTTTGCTGGTGAAACCAAGGTACAGAATGAACAGTCTCTGTATTCTTTCTGTTTCCTTGGTCTCATGGTGCATTCAGGTTGGGCAGTCAAGACTCACTGATACATATCTGTAAGTTTTAAAACATATAGATGAACTTTATTATCTATTATTATTATTATTATTATGGTATTGTATTATTAGGGTATTGTATTACTATTAGGGTAGTGTAATTTAATAAATAGTGTTTCAAAGTCAGATGAGTTAGAGTTATACATACATGCAGCCTTGAATCTCATGTATTTGCCATCTAGCACCTAACATGTAATATTCTCAAACATTTTGGGCAAGGTTTTCCTAAAATTAGTAATTAGAAAGAAATGCTTATCTAGTTTCTTCAGGAGGTTCTCTGCTTTAAAAACCAGATACCCACAAACTCCTGCAAAAGGAAATGAGGCATGAAGGGAAGAAACTTGTGTGTGATGCTCGCATTTACAACCGAGAGGAGCAGTGGCTTTCTCACTTTCAAGGATCCATGCTGTTATAGGTGCTTATTTAGATACACTCTACATTTAATATAAGCCTTCATGAGGCAAAGATTAATTCAATTTTCACAAACGTTTGTGTGTACAGCATGTGCCTCTGCAAACTTTTACAATCTAAACTGGAATATTTTGGAGCCTAATTCTCCCTTCACAGCAGGAGCAGTTCTGCTGTTTAGCAGACCTTTTTCAAGCTTAAATCTACAAATGTAATTGATCTACAAAGCCTCTTTTGTATCAAACAACTTTTTTGAGCTGTAAATGCTTGAAGAATGCTGCTGCTGATTGCTGTACCCTTCTTATACTACCCTTTGCTACGGGTGAAGTTGGGATGATGCTAACAAGGGGCACCTACCCTGGAAAGAGGCAGGAGGCAGCAGGCTCACTGGATGAAGCACCACTTTGTACTTCTGCTTCTCCCTAAATGTTACCAGCCAGCCATGGCCAGAGTCAGGCTCCTGGGATAGAAAACCCTTCATCAGGACCCACTATGGCTCTTCTTTAGAGCAAGGTACAAAGCTAGTTTTAACCCATCACTCCTGAAGGCATTTAACTTCCTCACATTTCTATTTGTCTGGGTTTTAATCCTTCAGACTAACCCAGAAAAGAAAAAATAGTTTTGATACCCCCTCCTCTTTCCTCTTTTCTTTCTCATTTCTCCATTTTATGTGTCTCGCAAATTTGTTTCACTAAAGAAAATAACTGCTGTGGTATTTCGGACTGCATGGGCATGTCAGTGGCACTGGCACCAAGAGCTTTGACTTTTCTCTTCCAAGCTATACCGTGCAGTACAGGTTAGGAAGTGAAATCATTCAGAAATCTGTCTCATAGCATGCTTTTTGTCAGTAAATACGGAAAGCAGTGCTAACAAGTACTTATGGCTTTGCTCCCATGACTTGACATAGTAATAAATTCTTCACATTGGAGTGACTTCCAGGCTTTTTGAGTGTAGGTAGGCGCAACAGTTCAGCACTCTCACTTAAAAGATGAAATTAAGCTGTCAGAAATATTATCTCTGTGTCAAAAGTTACATGAAAGCTCACTGACAGCAATCCTCATTGCTACTCTTCTCACTTGCCCTGTGCCAATGGGGTTTTGCTTTCATTTTTGTACTTCGAGTTAAACAGCTGTCAAGTTTAACTTATTTGTAGAAACTAGTGTGGACGAATTAGTTCCTACCGCCGTGCTAGTTATCTTGAGATTAATGGGAAATCCAGAGCTACCAGTCAGAAGGGTAAGTAGTCCAAATGGGAGAGCAATGCAATCCAATAAAATCACTAAGAAGCCTCAACTTTTGGATCCGGTGACCCACACTTGAGAAAACAATAAAACCCCTGCTGCTTCAGCCAAGGGAGGAGAGAAGCAGTGGTTCTGTGGTATAACAAACCGAGGAACTGTAAACACAGAGGGGCCTATCCTTGATGGAACAGAAATTTGATGGAACACTTTGGGTAGTTTAAAATCACCATCTAAATTTTGAGATTTCCTAAAACACTGCCATAACGTAGATTTTTTTTTTCTTCCAGTAGAATCTAGCATTACAGATTTAGCTATCAAATATGAAGTAACAACCATCTTTGGGGATGCAGAAGAAACCCTCCCCAACTCCAAAGCTCTTTCTGCTCAGCACATCTCAGAGTTACCAGAAAAAGAGGGAATACGCAGTTTTCACCTTGGGTCAAAAGTTCTGGGTAGTCAAAAGAAACAGAAATAAGTCTCTGGTACATGTTGACATCAGAGGAGTCACACAGCCCTTCCTTGGATGCCGGGCCTGGCAGGAGATGGCTTTCCCCAGTGGGGAAGGCTCTGAGAGTTGAGTTCAGCTCAGTTTGGGCACTTCACGGTCCTGCTTTTGGTTGAGAAGTCAGAGAATCGCTCCATTATACATACTGTGTACACAGGCCTGACCTTTTACTTTTTATATATTACGCCCAGTACTATTTAAGTGGTTGGTTACACCATGCTGTCCTGCCAGAACAAACTTTCCGATCTACACTCCAAACAAAAAGATCAGCACGCCAGCATCACTTCAAATTAATGTTTCTTTGAAAAGGCTTTCTTAGGGAAAAGGGCTGTCTAAATACCTGGTTTGCCACTTCTCCCTTTTGACTAGTACTCAGAAGAGGTGCTATGCCTGCCTGCCATCACCTGCTGTAACTCTGTCTTGCAATTACCGGTAGCTTCATTCCTCTTTTGGTTCCCCAAATTGAGGCATGCTAAAGCAATCTGGATTTTTAAGTGATCAGAACTATCTCAAAATGATCCCTCTTCACATTAGGACAGAAATTTAGGCACTATAATGCTGCATTGTGCAAACCCACATTGTCCAAGAAAGAGTGAAAGAACTGCTCTGGGCAAAATGAACGCTGTCCACCTTATCTGCAAAAAGTGCCTGGCTTTTGAGGAGAAAAACCAGAGTACAGTGCTGGGTCAGGGAAACAAGACGACGCCTGGATTCCTAACTCTGTGGAGGAACAAACAGTAAGGACTTCAGCTGAGACCGAACTTACTCCGTTTGCTTTTCAGTCCTGTGCTTTCCTGGAAATGTCTTTTTGGTCTGAGTGAGGCTGTAGCAGCCAATGGCCCCAGAAGAGGATGACCAGCTTCAAACATCAGTCATTTGGCCCCAGCCTACTGGAGACCATGTCCTGACTGGTTCTGAGGTAGGAAACAGCATGACCTCAACAACCTCAGAATAAACTCGGCACATTTAAAAATACGCTTCTGTGAATTTTCAGGCATGTAGCGAGAAGCACCAGCTGGAAGGCCCTTCTGCCCAGTAGGAGTCATGTTTTACTTCAGCAATATCCTTATTTAAAACTACTTATTTCAGTTTATTCCAGAAACTGCTACTGCAATACAAATTAATATATGTCCAATAAAACCCCTATAAATAACACCAAGAAAGTGAAGAAAGCGTGCTGCTGGAAAAATCTGAAGCCCCATTTTCCTGCTCCCACACTGGACACAGTTAACATCTTTTGTGTTCGCTTGTTTAGAACATTCACTACAGCGAGGTGGAATTTTGGAGGGTGGCAGAAACATATTTGTGTACTATTATACACCGTGAGACAGCAGCAATACAAAAAATGACAAGTAAATGATGAAGTAGCACAGAAATACAGGCTGCAGCCACTATCCCAATCCTTACCTTTCAGAGTTGCCTTCTTAAGTACCTTCATGGCATAAAGCTGACCCGCATCAGATCCTTTGATCTTCCTCACTAGAAATACCTGTAAAAAGCAGATGTCTAGTGTAGATGAGTACGGCACTTCCAGTTGCAAGCCTTGCTGCATTTGATAGAGGAATAGCTTCAGGTATTCTCATGAAAACTATTAGCCAAAAGTACTTTGTATCTCTTTCACCTGCAATTAGTTGACCTAGCTCTGGAAAGCTTAATTTCTAAGCTTTTACTCCCTCACAAAGAAAATATCTTCAACGTTATTGATTAACTTACACATTCAATTAAAAATGGGTGAATAGTCATAATCAGCGTGTGCATATCTCTTCATATTCTGACTAGCTTTACATGAAAAAAAGTTATGTCTCATTTGTGCTTAGAAATGTACAGTGTCTTAAAGTTGTTGTTATCAATTATGTTAAGGAGAAAAAACAAATTGGTTTCATTTATGCTGTAAGTCATGAATGGTGGCCAGCCTAAGATGTCACTGAAGCAAAAAGTTGATACAGCTGAAAATCTGGTTGTGCATACTTAAAAAAATGTAGAACTATTGTGATTAACAAAGAGGTTATTATAATAAAGACAGTTTTCCCTGTTATAGTTACCTGTGTTACATCTTCTGACAGCGTAAATTTGTCATTGTAATAAAATTGTAGCTAAAATTCTGATTTTTTTGGTTTACTCCATGCAACTATTTCTAATCTGCCCCTGAGTGCATCTGAGCACTGGAAGGGTAGTGGAATCAGTAATTTAGTTTGGTCTCTATAAGACTTTTGGCATTTTAGTAATTGAAAATAAAATGAAGAAATATTTTAGCTGATTCCTAAGACTCACTCTGTCTGCTGAGGTCAGAAATACCAGAGACTCTTTTATTTCAGCACTTTTGCAACTGGACAGAAGCAGGAAGTCAAGTCAAATGCAAAAAGAAATATAAGGCCACATACATAGCATATACTTATACAAATATAAATTATCAAAGGCTACCTGAAATTATGTAACTAATTAATGTCCAGTTGGATTATAAAACTCTGTGGCAATTGTTTTATTCCTTGCCTGTTCAGGAACCATGCAGCTTTCTTAATGCCTCCACCCAAAATATAAAAAGCCAAAAAAAGAATGGAGGAAGTTCTGTTTCTAGCACATTATTTCAAGTTGAAAGACTCTTCCTCCCACAAAAAATAATATCTGTAAACAGATTATGATCTTCTGAAACACCCCTTGAGGAAACATTTGCATGGAGAGAGAACAACTTTTAACAACCAGCTAGAGAAGCTGGGGGAAAAAAAAAAGGCTCATTTCCCTCTGAACACCTTAACCAGGACTCTTACATCTGTACATCACAGCTACAACACTTCTGAAATATAATCTGATAAATTTTTGGTGAGACTTTCCTTCTCAAGATGTTTCCTGTGCACATGATACGCATGGTTCCTCAGCTGAGCTGCCCTAACCAGCTGAGCCTAGGCACATGTTGCTTGTTCCCTTCTCCTGTTCCTTAGTTCAATGAACATACAAATACCTTTGGTACTCATGACTCTAGGAAAAAATGATGAAATCTGCATGCAACAGGGACACATAAGACTTTCTGAAGTGTTTTTCATTAACATTCATGATAAATTAAGCTCAGCTGCTCCAGCATTAGCAGGAAGTCAATTCATTTAGAAGTTCAGCTAGACAGAGAAATGTTGGGATATTTTTCTATCCAGCAGAAGTAAAAGATTTAATTTTTGCATTATATTGAAAGGGAAGAGAAAGTCAAAAGCAGGCTTGCCCAAACACTAGATTTTCAGCTGTGTTATTATTCTGTAAAAATGGTTATGGAATCTTTATCCAAAAAACAAAACCCCAAACCCTTAAGTTAATGATTTTAGGCTGTGTTGCACATAGAACAGCACAGCATGCTGCATCTGCAGAAATATCAGGCTGCAGTTCTAGAAATATCTTATCTGCCATGTAATCTTACAAAGCTTGTAATACCCGTATTGCTGTAATAAGCAAATTTATCAATTTATGTTACTAGTCACTAGGCAGCTGCTCCCTGTAGCATGGGACAGGGCACTTGTCTGCATTCCTTCCAAAACAGATGACTCAAGAACACTGTGTGCTGTTTCAGAGGACATCAAAATAATCATCAAACCAAAAAGGAAACAGAACAAATGAAAATGCATTGTCTTGCAAAAGGATGTCGTTGTCCTGATTTTTCTTAAAGGTAAAGTCACATTGTTCTTGAAACCACCAAGTGGTCCTGGAGTGCTGACTTGACTAGTTATATTAGCTATACTATACTAGTTTGCCAGAATAGCACAAGCATGTGGCTGAGCATGACTTTCAATTTTCTAGCTTGATATGCTTGCAAATACCTCAGGTTATTACAACCCGAGCTAGCAAAACTCCCTTAGTTAGAGCAACGGGTATATCACCCAAATCCCAACCTAGAAAGCTAAGCAAGTGCTGTGAGAGGACTCCCTCTGACACCAAAGGCATCTTCTCTAATCCTGCAAGAAATTATTTTGGCTTCAGGTGAACTTGAAAACCAGTCAGTCTGCATCCCCAGAGACTTATGGATTTGAACCATTAGCTCAAATACGGAAGTGATGAAAACGTAGGTGCTTGGGGACTGCAGAAGCAACACAGAGCAGACTTCCCTCCCCTGTGTCTTTGCTGCTCTGGGGAGGTTGCCGACCTGCTTCATGCAAGATATAGAAAGTGATCTGTAATCACACACAGCCTCAAACAGGTATGAAGTCCACACTCACAGTCTGATCCCCTAGTGAATTGGGTAGAGCATGTCCCAGAAATCAGAACTCTTCTGGGGAAGTGGTGGCAGAGACTAAGCATTTTGCTTATAAAATGCATTAAGCTAGGCGGCCAACTCGGATAGTTAATAATGAAATACATCAGTGCAATCTAAGAGAGCCAGTGAAGCATTTCTAAACTCTTTACTACCTGAATCTGAAAACTGGCTGCCTCTGTTACTTTTGCAAAGAGATTTTATTCTCTTGTTCTCCTCCTTCTTGTATTCAGTCATACAGTAAACCTAATTTTTAGTTGTTTGACTGTTCACATTAGTTGAATATTTAAAACACAAATATCATTACTGTGCTCTCAAGAAATTATCTATATCAAAAGTTGGTAGTGAATGCTAGGTTTCCTGATATCTCTCATCTCAGGGAACTTCTGACAGACTTGTTTATCAATGTACTTCTGGAATAGTCAGGAAACTGAAAAATACTCTCAATTTAGCTTCTTTCGGGAATAAAACTAAAGACCCTGACTCATTGTAAGGGTGCTCAGTTTTGTGCTGGGTACCTTGGCAACTTTTACATATAAGTCAGTTCTTCAAGTTAGGCAGAATGATCCACCATTGAATTGAAGGATGGGAAATAATTTTTTTTAAAACTCCACAAAATAACATACTTCAAATGATAAGTACTTCCACACCTGGTTTAAATTATGTTCACGGTCCTAAAAATTTCAAAGTCTATTGTTATTTAAAACATAGAAAGACTTTAAGACTGAATTGACTCCTCCCTCTTTCCTCTCCATCTTTACTTCCTACTCTCATTTCCAGCTGACACAAAAAGCCTTGGACTTAAGATAAAAACATTGTTTCTCCGCAAATTAGCTTGTCATACAGGTAGATTTTCCCCCCCCCCCCATGCTCTTACCACAACGATTGCTCTCTTCAGCACTGGGGTTTGACTCCAGGATCCTCTCAGCAAAGTGCATGGGCCTCTGAGTGTGAGCTGAAGAGCAGTCTGCGACTTTTTGCTTGAGATCCCATTTACCCTCATAGGGAACTGGGCAGCTGACTTTAAGCCTTTGAATGTTACCCTCCAGCTAAGCAGCCGTGGCGCGCTCGCCGCCCTGGTGGGTAGGTCAGAAAGAGGGAGGGGGGTGTCTAATTTTATAAAGAGTGATGCTTACTAATGCTCACTTGTGCTCATTAGTCCAGGTCCAGAGCCATAAGCACTGTTTCCTAAATGGTTTTATATACAGGAATCCAGCTAAGAGACAAAAGTGTTATTAAAATGAAAATAAGAAAGGTTTGGGCTTACTTATCTGTCTTTACAGTATAAGTTATATAGGGACAATGTTAGCAGTGTAAATGAACTCAGAGAAAGGACATGACATTTTCAATGTTGCTCTAGGTGATTAGATGGCATTAAAAATTACCTTTCCATATGAACCTTGTCCTAATACTTTCAGCAGTTCAAACTGAGACGGATCTGCTTTTTCAAAACCTTCCTTCACATGATGACTGATGTCTATTTCCTTCACGATACCTTCTTCCTGCAAAGGAAACAACAAAAACCAAAACCCCCAAATCAGAGCTGTTATCCTAAGGAAACATATTGTTTATTAAAATCTCATCTTCTGTGATGCTACAATCATGTATGAAATTTTGAAAACAAACAGTTGTCCAAATATTCCATGTGCCTGTTACTGGCTGGGGAGAGTAATGGCAGGACATCCAGGCCTGCTGCTTCTGTTTATTGAGCCTCGAGATATGATTAGGTAAAGATAGAATATGCCAGCTGAAATACATAAATATACTGCAGAGCTTGGTGTGCCCAACACAGACCTCACTAGCAGAGCAGTGTATACTCAAATCTGTACTACAGAGGCTCCAGCATGTTTCCCTCCACATGCTTCCTCGTTCTCCCTCAAAGCATCTTTTAAATCCATCTTAAAGAGCTCCCTTAGTCTTGAGCAGCAATTCTTCTTATGAGCAAGCAGTAAAGAAAAGGCATTGCTAGAAGTGGCTCTCCCTATTTACCTTGAAGAATAGAATACAGATAGAAAATATAAAACAAATCAATGATTTAGATGTGAAAATAGGGCGGTAGTAGAAGGAAGAATGACACACACTTCTTTGCTTGCAAGAATTAGCTTTTAACACTTTGGATTTTCCAGGTTGTTAAAATATTTCCACTGCATATTCTTCAAAGACATCAGTTGAACTAGGACTTCTGTCTCGCAAGCTGTGACATATATCATACGGTTTAGTTGTTTGTTTTACGCTATTATGACACGTTCCTCTAAAAAAAGAGTGACTGGGTCATGTGAGACCCAAAGGGACTACGTAGAGTTTGCAGCAACCCAGAAAGTCACTGGGCTGAAAAGAAAGCTGGAAGAAAGGACCTGCTCTTCAAGGACATAGTGGTGAGGGAAGCTAATACTTACATGCCTTTTTATTTCTGCAGTGTTTTGTACATGTAAAGTTAAGCTTCCTCTCTAGTCAAATTACCTGTGCTAACATCTCTACAACTAAAATGTGGATTTTGAGTACAAAACCTTTTTGTTTTATCTCCCAGGACCAAGGGAATTTCTTACTTAGGAATAGGTTTGAATATTTTTGCAACCAACAAAAATAATTAGAATATCATAAACATTATTTTTACATAGACTTTTTCTGCAATTGTGCTTTCTCCCCAAGAAAATATCTTGATAAATCCTAAAAGCATAATATTTATTTCCCATTCTTAAACAATAATGTGAGGAAAACAGAAATAATGTTTTAAAATGCAAATGCATTCACAGCAACATTTGGCCAAACCACATTCATTTGCTAAACAAGAATAAATTTGATTCCCTTCTCCTCCAGAAAAATTGTTATCACCTTCCACCAGCTGCAATTCATCTGATGCATGGCTAGCATTACCCGGATTGCTCTCTATATTGTAGCTCCATCCCTTCTCTTCCCAACCCTGCCTCTTTACGCTCACGTGCTTTGGAACAGGGACTATATCCTCTTCTTGGTTTGGAAAGCTTCCTCTACTTTGTGCATGCTACCAGAATCATGGAAAATAATCATCATCTGACAGCAACTCATTTTTCTGATCCCAATTCCTCTAGTTTAAGTTTTGCCTGAAAGGAAATGCTTGAAACCAACAACCATTTTTCACAAAGAGATTTAAGGGTTTTCTAAGTACATAACCGCCAGGATCTCTCCTCATGTTTTTCCAGCTTTAACTGCCGTGGGAGACAACGTATCTTTCTGATATTAAAACCACTCATTTTTTCCATTTTTTTTTCTATGTGATAGAAACAATAGTAAGCTGATATAAATTTGATACGCTGCATTAGCTGTTTCCTAAGGAAACCAGGAATAACTTACATGTTGTTATCAAAGGCCCCACCGAGTTCTGAAGTGATGAGCTTTCATACCGAGGGACATGCATCTTCATGAAAACTGCCAGCAGCCGAGAGACTTGCACACTGCTAAGAACATTTTTTTGAGCTTAGCCCCCCCGACCACACTACAGTTTAGGTGAAGTATCTGGACTGCAGGGCTCACCACCAGCCTTGTTCAGCACTTACTCGCTAAGGCTAAAAATGACTCCCTGTGGAGTCGGGCTCCTGCCCTGAATCACCCCTTACTCTCTACACCAGACCTCATATGCTTGGCAGTTTGCTCTCCGCTGAGCACAGGCAGAGTTTGGGAGGACTGGCTTCTGCAAGCCAGTCTGTGTGTGTGGGTGTCCCCCTAACAGCTATCGGATGATGCAAATACTGCATGACGTTTTCCAAAGTCAGTGCACCTTGAGGGCACCTGGTCACCATTTCACGATTTTGCACAATCTCTGTTTTGCACAGAAGCACAGCACAGCAAGGAGCATCCATTGGAACCATGTGAAGCAGGAGGTGGACGCAAATTTTGCAATGTATTCTGGCAGCAAAGCTCTGAAAAAAAGAAACTAACCCCAATTTTGTGTACAGCAGATGCCTTCCTCAGATATACTTCTCCTTTGACACCTCAATCTCAAAAACTGTGATGAGATCTACCACCCTAAGGGAAGAGCAACCCCCCTTTTTGATTCAGTTAGGCTATATTTCAGCCTGAACCATGGAGTCATTTCAGCTACATTTGCAAGTTTAAATGATGAGTGAGTTTCAATTTATCCATTGATATTAGTCATCAAAGTCACAGGCCTACAACCTTAAGCACATTTTTCATCGTATTATTAAATTTAATATAACCTTTTTATGCTCATGAAATGTGTTCAGTTACGGGAATATATTCAAAGTATTAAAGTGATGATAATATGGCTTGCTGGAAGAATACTTAAAAAATTCTAGCATTCCCAGAGAATAGCATAATTAATTCAGAACTGGCAATAAAAACAACACCTTAATTAAATGCATCTTTAATTAAAATCTCAGGAAAACATTATTTTAAAAGAATGGGACCAAATACAACGCCTAGCAGTGTTTATCAGAGAAACACAGATTTTAAAGATGGAAACAACCTGTGACTTCATAGAAATATAAAAAGAGTGGTTAGAAGGGGCTTCTGGGGGTCATTTAGTCCAACACCCCTGCCCAAAATATCATTGCCACTTGATCAGGCCAGCTGGTTTTTGTCCACTGTGGCTCTCAGTGTCAAACAATGAGGCTTGAGCCACTTCCTACAAAAGATTATTCTCTTTCGATTTGCCTAGCTCAGAAACTCCCACAGTCGTGTAGAGCTGCCTGCTCCGCGGGTCCTGAGGAGGAAGCAGGATATTTTCCTAGGAAGGTAGGATTTCCTGTGGGTTTCCTGTGGTCTCCGCAATAGAAAGGGGCAGCAAAGCAGCACTGAAGAAAATCATTCCAGACAACTCTTTTTTTCACTGAGCATCACTACAGTGGCGTTATTTGTGAGCTGTTCAAGAGGTAGATAGCATGTTAGCTGGTATGATAAATTCACTTCCCACTGGAGCAAAAGCCAAACTGTCAGTACTTGAGACTGAAGATGGACACAGCTCCTTGAAGGAAATATATGCTGATGTGTTTAGACTCATGCATCTATTTCCCTTGCATGTATTTCTATAGTCTTATTACTTATTTTGCTGCATGAATTCTGGAATGACTTCTGTTTGTTTGCTTCACCTTATTAGAAAAAAAAAAAACAAATAAAAAACCCCAAAGCAAAGTCAACATTTTCACAGTTCCCTTTTAATATTCTTACTTAGGATTTCCCCCTATCATTTATGTCTTTTAAAGTCTCCCTGTATTAAACTAATTTGGAATGAGGTATAATTTTTCTCAGTACTGATGACCAGAATGAAACCCCAAACTATCAGAGTTCAAGCATTGTGGCCAGATCTCCCAACTATTTTTGGATCCAAGTTGCATCTTAGGGACTTCTCTAACATGGATTTTTTTTTCACTGATCCAGCAGGTGCAGCATATCTACATTAGAAATTTCCATAACAATAAAGCTGAGACAAGAGATTCGCAACAGAGATGAAGCCTGCGCACTGAAGAAGCTGTTTTAATGGAGAGGATTTCACTCTGGAAAAAACTATGAGCCAACTTCCAAAATGGTTTTGATCAGTGAAGTTGGTGAAGTCAAAAATGAATGTTCCACAGTTTGGTCTTGCAACAGCTGTGCACAGCAGCCCAGGCTCTTGCTCCCTGCTGCCTTGT